TACATGGAATCTTTGATGAATTCAAAAGCTGCTTCCACTTTAAGGCACCACAACAATGGAGAAGGTGTAACAAGGACTTTGGAGCAGGTACTCTGGCCGGGAAGCCAAGTTTTCAGTGTGACCTTTTGTAGTTTTGGGGCAGTGACCTAATCTGTCTGCGCCTCGGGGATAATACCAACGCCATTCGCCTGCCTGTTGATGAAGCTCTCACCTGGGTGCTGGTAGAGCAGTCCAGGGCAGTGGGCGTTGATGGACGCTAGCAAGGCTTTGTTATATATATATATATATTTTTTTGTTTGTTTGTTTGTTTGTTTGTTTTAGAGGGGAAGGAGAGAGGGAGAGAAACATCAACGTATGGTTGCCTCTAGTGTGTTCCCAGCTGGGAATTGGCCTGCAACCCAGGCGTGTGCCCTGACCCTGGGAATCGAACCGCGATCCTCTGGTTCGCAGACCTGCACTCAATCCACTGAGCTACACCAGTCAGGGCTGGCTTTGTCATATTTTAAAACTTTTCTGTTTCAAACATAAGAGTGTTATTCATAGCATATCTTAGTAATCTTCATATAATGTTTTCCATGCAAAATAAGAGAGAAATATTCATCTACCCTATGACCAGCAAAATTGTACTCAGGTATTTTTACCCAAAAGAAATGAAAACATGTTCACAAAAAAAAAGCCTGTACAAACAAAATTTTCCATAGTGGCTTTATTCACAATATCCAAAAACTAAAAACTGTCAAATGTCCATAGTAGAAGAATGGGTAGATAAACTATTACTCAGCTGCTTAAACAAATTAAGTACTGATAGATGCAACAACATGGACGAGTTTCATAAATAAATGTGCTGAGGGAAAGAAGCCAGACCCAGAAGTAGTATGTACTCTGCTGTTTCGCCACAGAGAGTGTTAGGGTAGATGACCCTGAACCGAGGTGACGGGGACCTGTCAGTGGTGTCTGTGTGGGGCGGGGCTGGGCTGGGGAGAGGGGCGGGGGCTTTCTGAGTGGTGGGGACACACACTCGCAGACTCCGAGGGAGACCTCAGCGCATGAGACCTCGGAGTTGTGCTGTGCGTAGATCACACCTTGGCTTTTCTGGTGCAGAGAAAGCACTTGAGAAATGAGGACAACTGAGCTCCCAGGGGACTTCCTGTACATTCATCATTGTAAGCCGTTTTAAGACCTTGGGTTTGGTTGCTTAAGAATGGCTCCCTTTGTTAAAGTGGAAGGCCCCCTTTCTCTCTGCAGAGGTGCTTGGCTCTGCCCATGTGGTGCAGAGCACTTCTGGAAAGGTCGAGAGTCGAGATACCTGGTTGCAGGATGGCACCTATGGTCCTCTTTTACCTCTGAACGAAGAGGGGGTTTGATAGATTGGTTGGAGGCCTGGCTGTAGGAAGAACTGAGCAGTGGTAGCTAAGGAAACCAGCCAGTGTTCTTGTCTAAAGTCGTGCTTCGAAGTGAGGAGGCACACCCCTCCCAGAGCATTCAGGGCGTTGTGCACTGCCAGTGTCGCTGACAGAACGGGAAGGAAGGCCGGAATAACACAAGCTCTTCTGCGTGAAAGTAAGTCTGCAGTGAACTGTGCTGTCTCGATTCTCAGGGCGTCCTGCCGTGAGGGCACAGTGCTGTGAGTGGCGAGGACCCAGGGTGATGCCCATTCTGGACCGAGACCCAAGGTTCACATTCGAGCTTTGCCAACTGGATGCTGTGCTCTCCTGGGAAGTGTTCGTGTGGCCCACTGTCCTGTGGCACAGCGCAGCACACACCGGGGTTCACAGTTCGTGAGTCTCAGCAGCCTCTAGTGACGTCGTTAGGGCCTACCCCACTGACCCCACCCAGTGACAGCTGTGCCTGCTGCTCTGGCTTGTATTCTCTCAGAGGTCTTTGCTGATGTCACACATCTGTTAACTCAGTTCCCAGCGCCCCAGGAAAGACATACACATGCACACGCATCCCCCCGTGTGCACACGTGCCTTCCATCACCCTTGGCTTTCTCCCGTTTGACACTGCTTCCAGCACTAGCAGTAATTGGGCATCCCAGAGAGGCTGCCAAGGAAAACCCACGGTCAAGGGCCTCTGCTGTGCACAGGGCCCCGTGTGAAGAAGCATTGCGTCTCTTCACTGGTTCACCTTCATTTCTTCCTCTTAGGAGCACAAAGAGACTATAGTTTTGACATAGTTGGGGCCATTTTAAGTGCTTTAATGTAACTGTTAAAATGGGCACAATTAAAAGGATTAGTGGTGTAAGTCTTGTGGAAGAAAATAGGTTTATTGTTTTCATTTGGAGTTGCACCAGTTCTTCAGTTCCTAAGACCCACGCATAACTCCTGTGCTGTGAACGTTTGGAAAAGCCACGCCAGTGGGCGTGGAGGCATGAGTTAGCAGGCCTTGCATACTTTTTCGGTAAATAAGAAACTTTGGTTTTTATTATTAGATTCACAGTCTAATGATTTTATTAAACTATGTTTACTGTATTAGATTCCTAGAATAATTTTAGGGTTAATAGATAAGAGTAATAGGGGAAGTATATGTATACCTATGAGAGTATTTTCTCGTGTGTAGAAGGGTTTGGTGTTATTAATATGATAGACATGTTTGCCTCGTTGAGTTATAATTGGTATATATAAGGAGTACAGGGCTGTAATGATGATACTGAATCCCACAAGGGTAATAGATAAGTTGGATCAGGAGAATGTTGGTATAACTACAAATAGTTCTTTGATTAGGTTAATGGCTGGGGCGAGAGCCAGGCTGCTGAGGCTTGCTGGGAGTCACCGGGCTGCTGGGAGTGCTGGGATGATTTGCAGTTCTCGGGCTTAGTTTGCTGATGTTTTTAATGTGAACTACTTCGTTTGTCACTGCAGAAGGCGACCTTTGTATAACTGTTGCTTTCCTTCTGACTTACATCAAGTAGAATTTATATACAGTGTCTGGTGCTGTATTACCTAGCAAGATTTCCATTTGAAATAACATGATTAGTTTTAATTTTTACTATTATTAGTTTTCAGTGACCCAGTTTAAGTTTTATTGTAATGGACTTTCAGTCAGTTCTTCCCTCCCAGTGATGGTGCTTACTAGTTTTTATATTTAACAATTAATTGCTTGTCTTTCAAAAAAAATCATGTTGCTTCTTTTTTTTTCCATCTGTACAAATAGCATGGGAATCGGGAAGTAGTGGTTTCAGAAGCAAGTCTGTTCTCCCTTTTCGTCGGCCACGTAGGGTGGAAAGGTGGCGGCAGGAGGTTAAACACTGTCTTACGATGTTTTCACTCATCTTTTTCTTTAATTTCTTTATGTCTTGTTTTAATTTTTTTGTGTTTTCTTTACTACAAATTTTAGTACCAGTTGTCTTCACTACAAGTTACAGTCCTCAGTTTTCTGCTGTAGTGCCAAGGTCAGCGATTCTGTGTCATGTGCAGACAGGAAGGGCTGTCCCACCCAGTGGCACTCCTTCCTGGCCTGGGAAGGACCAGAATTCCACGAGCAGTGTGGAATGGCTGCTTCTTATATGTGAGACCTGAGCACTAGGTCATGTGGGCGCCGTGAACAGCACAGTTTCTTTCCTTCCACCATCACCACAGGTGGGCCTTAGAGGGTGGGCTGTCCACAGCCGCTTGGTGCTGCTGTGGTGGGGGGAGTTTATCCTGTGGGGTGGACGTAATTGAGACTGGGGGTGAAATTAAACATGTCACATGCCAATCGTTTAACAGATAAGTTCCAGCAAATAACTCGGAGGGGTGGGGGTGAATGAGGAGGTGGGCAATAATAAGTAGTCCCTGTTCTCAGGGAGCTTATTTTGGTAACAAGGGTATATAACACTGTAATGCAAGGCAGAAGCAATACCATCTAGGGACGGCCCCACAAGAAGGTGGCATTTAGGTTGAAGTTTGCAGGGTGAAGTAGGGTTTGGAAAGGGGCTGGTGGAGTGCAGAGGAGTGCTCAAGGCCGTGGGTGCAGAATCCACACAGAAAGGACTAGCAGAGGGATTTGGTTTGGCATGTACCAAGAGGTAAGTAAGAAAATGTAGGAGATTAACGAGTTTAACTTGAGAACATAGTTTGGGGCCAGATCATAGGTAGCGTAAATGGTTTATACTTTTAGGTAGTAAGAAACCGTAAAGGGTTTTGAGATTGTTAAGTAGCATTAAGATGAAAGTTGCAGTTCGGGCAGTTAATGTGCCCTTGTGTGTGGATTGGTGGGTAGACATCATTTCCGGTTTTGTAGCAGTATCGGCACTAGCCTAGTGGGAACTGGCATGAGGGTGACGTCGGTAACTGGAGTGCTGGAGTGGGTCCAGGGTCAGGAGGGTGGCTGTCCACGCTGAGAGTCAGAGACAGCCCTGGACCGCACAGCAGTCACGGCGGAGCGAGCACGCCCACCCTGCTGGCTCTCAGGTGTTGTGGTTTGGACCCCACCCTGGTGGTGACTCTAAAGATCCGTGTGCTTCAGGGTTGGAAGGACTTGCTAATTTAAGGGAGAGAGGGATATTGGCAGAGTATATATACTAATTTTAGAAATTCTTATGACTTTATTAAATTTCTCTTTTTGAGAATTAAACAATATCCTCTTATCTGAATATTGCAATCAAATCATAATGTGTTTAAAATCTCTTTTTGTTTTTTGGCTTTTAACGAATACATTAGAGCTTTGAAACCTTCAGAATGATAGGTACTAAAGAGAACATAATGTATTTACTCTTACTTAATTCATTCCATTTAAAAGCAAAACCTTTTAGGAAAACTTGAATCAATCAGTGTAACTTATACTAAAAGATTCCAAATAGAAATGCCACAGGTGGCAGTTGAGTGTCCTGGGTACCAGGATGCCGACAGTGAGCAAGCGGCTGCAGTGCGTCAGAGCCCTCGGCCCCCAGGTCTTCCTGGCCCACTGCAGCAGGTGGCTGTGTTCACACTGCATCTGCTCAGAGGCCGGCCCACGGGCGTGGCTGTGAGGCACACGCCCCCGCCCTCCGAGCTCACTGCTCTCGTGGTTTTCTTGTCCAGGCAGAGGGAGAAGACAGCCTGAAGAAGATGCAGCTGATGGAGCTGGCGATCCTGAACGGCACCTACAGGGATGCCAACATCAAATCACGTAAGAACGGGACTGGGGCCCGGCTGGCCACCGCCTCAGCCGTTTGTCCACACACCTTTCTCCCCTTGGTGGCGCAGCACATGAGCAGTCGAACAGAATGAAAGGGGGAAACGACGGTCGCCTGCTAGGGGATCAGCAGTCCCATTTTTACTGTTGTCACAGAGTGTGGATGCTGTCCTTGTTTTTACTGCATTCCAGCCTGTCTTCCGAGTTCGGGGCTTATGAACTTTTATTCTTTTGATGAAATTTTGACTTCTAAATTCAAGAGTTTAATGAAATTTCCTATTCTGTTAACTGCAGATTTAAGGCTTCAGATTTAAACTTCTAGGTTATTTTGTTACATTCATAAAAAGGGCAAAAAAATAAAAACTTTTAGAGCTGATATGGAATGTGTCTGAATGCAGTGATCTTTCTGTTGAATTCTGTCCTTTTAACTTTCTTGCATGTTTTTCCTCCAGTATTTTTTCTCTGATGATTTTATATGTGAGTTCACAGAGGACAGTAGGTGTTAACCATTTCAATCCAGTTTTTTCTTTTATTTGTATTTGGATATGCTTTCACAAGTTTACAAGAGGGTGCTTTTTTATATTTAAAATGAAATGCGACATTTATATTTTAAGAAAATCTGAGGTGAAGTTACTAATTTTTTTTTGAGAAATTGAATTTCAAGTTCTAGGTAATTTTCCAAAGTGTGGACAACCTGTTGGGTTCCGAAGTGGTCACTCAAGAAGTGGTGGGCTTTAGTTCACTCATGAGAATGAGTGTCTTTAACGCCATGTACTGAGGACTGGGGCAGTTGTCCATCGTACAGGGGGGCAGGAGTAGTTGTCAGTGTGCAGAACAGCTTATTCTTGTCTCATTACGTATTAATTGTAGTATTCCATACAAACCTACTTTTGCCACGCCCTGTATTGTTTTTGTATGAGAAATTAGTTTTTACGTATGCAGGAAATATATATAAATAGTAGTTAGTTGGCTTATTTAATATAATAAAAATCATTCTTTCTTTCATTTTAAACCGAATCTACTCTTTTGGAAATATGCCAAAACTGTTTCTGTGGACTCCAGTCGCAAAATATTTTTTTTAAATATCTTTTAATGCTAGTGTTTTTCTTGTGCTTCTGCATGCACCTTTAGCCTTATGAGATCTTAAAAACATAGATGTACCAACTATATAAACTAAATATAACCTATTAATGGTCTCAGCTCTTTTTACAGTGGCTTTTTAATGTTTGCACATTGATTCTTAATCATGTTGGGGATGGGGAGCCAGCGCATTTGATTGGTGTGCTTTGGCATTGTGGTGTGATTGGCGCATGTACTAATGGTTTCCTTTTATTTTTTTTCTTTCCTGCTTCTCTCTTTCTTTCCCCCCACTTCCCTCTCGTTCTCTGTGTTTGCACTGCTGTCTCTGCACTTCCTTCTGAATTTCTCTGCTTACTGTAGCAGCCCTTGCCTTTTCTCTTGCAGCGACAGCCCAGGCCGCTCCGAGGATCATTACCGGGCCCGCGCCCGTGCTCCCCCCAGCGGCCCTGCGCACCCCGACGCCGGCCGGCCCCACCATAATGCCTTTGATCAGACAGATACAGACCGCCGTCATGCCGAACGGGACTCCTCACCCCACCGCCGCGCTGGTCCCTCCCGGGCCTGAAGCCGGTTTAATCTACACCCCCTACGAATACCCCTACACGTTGGCACCAGCTACGTCAATCCTTGAGTATCCCATTGAACCTAGTGGTGTATTAGGTAAGTTGTTTTGTCTGGAGGGTTAACATTTTTCTTCCCAACTTTTGCCCCAGACTTTGAAATCACTATCTCAGTGTGAGAGAGGCAAGTCAAGGTTCCATTAGAAAAGGCTGAAGACTGTTGTTTCAGCACCTCGTGAGGGTTCCCCTTCCAAACAGTTGTGTCTAAGACGTGTTCAGATCTGCTCTGGTAACTCAGACTCACTTCGGGGGGCAGATCTGAACACTCGGCAGGACCTGCTGGTCACGTTTGGCCTCCCCGAAGTCCTCCTGCGTTGCAGGTCCTCCCCCGGCACGTTCCCTCCTTCGGTTTTGTCACGAAGTTGGAATCTTTTCATCTCAGAAATTTGTCGACTAAATTGTAGTTTTCTGTGTGAAAATATTTTGAGGTTTTAAAACTGCTGTAATTGTGTGTGCTTTTTAATATTCGTGATCATTTAAAATATGAAAGGGTCCTAGTCAGTAGCTGCATTCTTCAAGTGTTTTCTTTTTTTCTCTTTTGAAGTCCTGGTTGACATTAAGCATAAGAGAAGCTCCTAATTTCAGTAGTACAGTATGGAATCGATGAGCAAAGACCAAGTCACTGAGGTAGATTCAGTCCTGAGGCGAAAATTAAGGTCATGCTGTAACGCTCAGTTTTACGTGAACGAAAAGTGGTGTGCTTGAAAAAGACATTACTGATGCCTTTTTTTTATAGAGTGGATTGAAATGCCAGTCATGCCTGATATTTCAGCCCATTGACTGCTGGATGAAGGACTAGAATGCAGCAGCTGCTGTAACACGACCAGGCAGTGTGGGACAGGTCACTGCCACGCTGCCCTTGTTTTACCAGACAGAATTTGAACACTTTTTCCCTTGAATTGGACATGACCTTGGTGCTGCATGCCTGCTGTTCACTTTTAGGATTTTGATCTTTTAAGGGTTTTTTTTTCCAGCATTAACATTGATTTATCACAATTTGAAAGCCTTTGATGAACCTGGTCAAAGATTTAAACTTGAAAATTCATTGTTCAATTAAAGAGAACCACAGTGCTCTGTATGTTATCTGTGTGTGTGCATGCACTCAGGTGCCTCTTGTTTCATGAGCAGATACATCTTACTGTACATGTTTTCGGTTATCTCTAAATCATTGTATAAAGTATTCCAGGTCAGAATCACACCATAGAGCTGTTTATGAGATTCTTATTTCTGTTGCACATTTCTTGAAGCATTTTTAAAATAACCTGTAACATATAACCTGTTTACGTTTCCTCTTAACTGTTAACGCTCTGTCCTGTGGCCCCTGCCTGCTCCTTTCCTCAGAGCTCCTCCCTGCTGCACGCACAGCGTCTGCTGGGGGAGGGGGGCCGCCGCCCCCCGCAGGGCGGGCTCCAGGCCTGGCTGCTGCTCCAGCCCTCCCCGAGCAAGAGCTCACTGGTCTTGCCTCATGGAATAAACTTGTCTGAGATGAGTTTCCTTGAAATGGAAAGGGGAGATGGACCACTTTACTGCTTAGAATCAGCAAGGGGCACTGCAGAATGCTTCTCATTTCAAAGCAGTGTGTTTCTGGTCGTGTTGGGGAATTTGTATTTATAACAATTATTAGACTGACAATTAAAAGCAGAATATACAGATATCTAATTGGCATTCATAAGATGAATAATAATGAGTACTAAATGATAAAAGTCCACTATAATCAATTTTATTTCTTGCTTTGCTACCTAAGCAGTAAAAGGTAATACTGATTGACCACTTGGAGAACTGACAGAATTATTTCAAATTGCTAAGTTACAGTAAATTTGCACACAGATAACATGCATGCTATGTATCAAGTCTCACATCATACTATTTTCAAATAAGCAGTGCCCTTCAAAACAGATGCAGACATGTGTGTTGGTGGTAGTGAGGAGATTGGTAATAGCATCAGATCTTCATTGGTGACTAATTTTTAATTCCCTTCCTTTTATCTTTAGGTATGGCTTTCCCAACGAAAGGCTAAGAATTCAAGAACGGTCTTAACTGAACCCTCATCAGATCTGAATTTAACAAATGCTTAGTCTCAGCAGCCTCCGGGGGGAGGGAAGCTTAGCCTAGCAGTCAGTGACTTACTTGCACTTTTTGCACACTGATAGGAAGTAAAAGTTGTTATTAATTTGGTTTAGTCTATACCCTTACAAAGTAATGGTAATTCATAAAGGAGTGTGGAGTAGTGTACTGACTGCTAAGTGTACTATACTGTTTGCTTTACTAATCACCTAATTCATTGCGGTTCATACTTATTGACTCAAAGTTTAAAACCACAATCTGTAGGCTTTACAAATTGCTCAGAAACCTTTTTACGTGATAAACTCTGGAAGTGGTCTGAAGGTTAGCCAGTCACTGTCAGCGGTGAGCACGGCGTGCTTTGCAGCGGTCCTGCTGCGGGAGAAGCACCTCGGTGAATATGTGACTAGTAAAGCGTAAATGTTGGTTTGGGGCTCATAGAGTTCATGAAATACTGTGTCTTGGGATTATAAATTAATGGATAAAATAGGTTAAGGCCAAGATGTTTGAAGTAAATGCAATATTAATAGACGCATATATACGCAACAATATTATGGTTAATTTTAAAACTACTGTGCCTTAACATATTTCTTAAAATGAAATTTTTGTAGTAAATGAACATTTGAAATTCATTTTTATAAACCTGTTAATGTTTGTTTTTCCCCCTTGTGAATGTTTTCTAACTTTGTCTTGGTGATTGCGATTTAACTAGGTGCGGTGGCTACTAAAGTTCGGAGGCACGATATGCGCGTCCATCCTTACCAAAGGATTGTGACCGCAGACCGAGGTTAGTTTAGCTCTGCAGTCCTTGTCTGTGAGGCGTGCGCTGGGGGTCTGGGTGATCTGCAACTCCACACCTGGTGGATAACGCGTGACTGTTTACTGCACAGCATTTCTTCTCCTTTTTCTAAATTAATTTATAACAATTGACAGATTTAAGGGGTGGGTTTTGGGGATGCATTTTTGTGTTTTTATCCCTCCCTTCATATTTTAACTTATTAAATCCTATTAGTATGTACTGTGATTTATTCCTACTAAAACACAAATTAGTCCATTGGGGAGCTATTAATTTTTGGTTTTGCCTTGATTATTTCTCAGTAATAATTTTTGCTAAAAATTTTTTTTTATTCTGAATTTTTGGGTGGGTTTTGCAAAATGAACTGAGCAGATGGTGCTTTAATGAGAGAAGTAAGGGAATCTATGCCTCCTGTGTTCTTTGGAGAAAATTGAAGATTTATTTTCCCATTTTCCTTTTTGATATGACATTTGAGCCACTGTACAAACATGAGGTTATGCATGTCAAGTACTTAGCTGAAATCAGCAAAGTGAGGACTGTGAAGAGGACTTTGGTGCAGTTGGATCTTATTTATAAGTCAGAAAATCAGTTCCCTTTTATTATATTTTCTTCCAAATGGATCCTTTGATTTTTGTCATTTGCTGCTAAAACCCATTTTCTAAAGGTAAACTATCTTTGGAAGTTCTGTGGTGACACGATCCAGCCATCTGAGCGTCTTTTTGCCTGACCTGTGACTGGAAATAAGTCTTCCCTTTTCTCCTCCTCAGCGTTTGTAATTTGTGTCCTGTGTATTCCCTTGGACCCTTGAAGGATTATTTATGTTTATTGAGGAGTGATATTTTCGGTTTATTGACATTGAATTCTTTTTCTGAGTTTGAAATCATAAGATAGGAATCCAAAGCAAGGTAGAAGAGAATTTTTTATAAGCTTTTTTTTTTTATGGCACATTTATTACCTACCGATTTAGTTGATCTAACTAATACCCGTTTGGAAAAGTGATGGATTGAAACCTCAATTCTACATCTCCTGTGACCTTGTGAAAGATCTGTCTGTACTTCGCACAGTTCTCTTGAACACTGGACACAGCTGTTGTCCGCGTCAGAATAAAATACCTTTCCAAAGATATCGATGATATTTATTTAGCATAATATATCATTAAACAAACAGCCTTGAAGATTTTTAACTACTGTGTTACTCGTAATGATTTAATGAACAAAATGGAGAGACCCTCCGAGCTCAGCGGTCATCTGTGAGCACCGCGCGCCTTGTGAGCGTGTTGTGCACACGCGTGCGCAGCTCTCTCCTCACACCAGAGCACGTCTCCTCACAAAGGAGGGCGTTTTTCACAGGGGAAGAGTCGTGCGGATTTGGAGAATCCGAGTAATTCCATGAATGATCCGAAGCCTTTCTTTCCCCAAAGTCACTGTCTAAAATAGTCAGGAGTATTTGGAAGTAGTTTTTCTTCTGTTCACCTTTCCTCCTATGCCCCTTTCAGAGTGTTCATAATTTTAACACAGTAGTTATTGGCCTACTCAATTCTCCAGTGCCTTGAGATAGTTGAAAATACTAAGAAGATCTTATTGCATTTCAAAATAAGAACACATTCCATGCATGGCTCTTTCGTACTTACATGTGTTTTCGTTAGTCCTGTCACTGTTTTTATTCACAATGCAATGTCAGCAAACCGAAATGCTACTTTTTCCCTCTGATAACAGAGCCCCCCCCGCACACTGCTCTCGCTGTCACCGCACACGCTCACTGGTCAGGGGAGAGGCCCGCGGCCCTCCACTTAAATTATTCAGTGATACTACTGTTTTCTCTATTTGTGAGGGTTTTTACTTTTTTTTAATCTTTTGAGGGGAAGATTAATATAAGTGTTCATTTAATGCAAGGAAGCTCAGCTCGTGAGCCCGTAACCGTGTGGTTCTGCGTGAGCGTTCAGAGTGCGGCAGGGCGGACAAGCACCTAGCTCTTAAAAGCAAACCCACCTCTGCACATTTCAAAACTGAATTTGAAGCCTATGAAAGACCAACTGACTTTTTAGTCAAAGTGAACCATACATTATTTTGCACGGTCGACACGCCTGTGTGTGCTGTGGGGGCCAGGACTCGGCAGAGGAGGTGTGGTAGGTGCGCTGGTGTGCGTGGGAACGGCAGTCTGCTTTTTCTGTGGGTTCCACGTGCAGAAATGAGAGTGTTTCTGAACAGTGGTTTTACAGAAACCATTACTTATACAGTTTGTGTAAGAAACTTAATACAGTTTTAATCAAAATGATAGTATGGAAAGCGCTTCGAGACTCTGTCTCTGGAGGCCTGGGAAGCGGTGTGGCTACATCCCGTGAACCGTTAGTGTTCTCCTTTGACTACGGAGTAGCCGTTTGTGTCTTAAATAGAATTCCACTATTTTTAAGAAATTCAGGGATGATTTGGTCACACTAAAGATACAGTATTTTTGTAGTATTTCTAAACTATTCTAAGTGATAGACTGCAGAAAGCATCTTTGTTCGGTGAGGGCAGGCCAGTCGACTACATAGACCATTTGACTCTGTGAACGTCAGACCTACTGGGTTTCGATTTACGAAGCGGCACAGAATCTACCTTTGCACTGAAGCATTTCGTATCTCCTCTGCCCTAGTCACAGTGGCCACAGTACAGAAAATTCTTTCAAACCTCAGAATATCGTAGAAATAATTAAGCTGTTGAATGAGTCTTAAAAATCATACTACTGTTAAGTGGACCAAGTTTGATGAAGCAGAACGTGACAGTGTTTGATTAAGGAAGGAACGACTCAAGGACATTGGGGACGAGAACTTTTCCACTTGAGAACTACTTTATGTTTTACTGTAATTTTAAAGATTTTTTGTTCTGTTTGTTATTTTGCAAAAGAAAATAGTATTTACAGGTGGCTTCTTTTAAAATATATAAAGCAGGAATGTATATGAAATGTCAGATTTTATTGTATTTGCAGAGAATTAGCTTTGAAGTTGAATAAAGAAAGCTGTAGTTTTAAAATGCCTTATTGGTATCAATTAGAAATTTCTTCTATTTTTTGATGTACTTAGAGCTTTTGAGTATAGAATTTTAAATGGCAGGATTTTACAGTGTTTACATGCAAGTGCATTTTATAAGTGTTCTATATTGTAAAATAGTATTTCCAACTGGAAAGTGTAGGCCGGCGCACAAAGGGCCTGGCCTTTTCTGGTTCCCACGACGTTGCCTACACTGCTAGACTGCAGGTTAGTGTCGCTCTGTATCATGAGGCCAGGAGACCCCGTGTTGTTTGTAAATAGAACAATTGAAAAAGCAATAAACATTTATTGAACAAAAGAAACCTTGTTTGGCCCAGAGTTTATGTTGAACCAAGTTGTTCACACAAATTTAAATTTCTGTAGATCCATTTCTGTTAATCATCAGTTGTTAATAATCACATCCATCATTAATAGTTGCTTAATGCTTGCACCTGAGAGAGTACTAATGCTTGAGGGCAGTCAGGCCCGCCGCCGACCGCCCCAGTCCCGTGCACCGGACCTCCTCCTCGTCGTCCTCAGTTTCCTCCATCGGGCTACTAACTGTTAGTCGTTAGTTATATTTTATTTCCATTTTTTCCTGTTAACCGGTTTTTTGTTTTTGTGGGAGAGGGCTCTCCTTCATTCGTTCAAATCATGATATGAAATTGTCATGATTTTTATTGTATTTTGTAGATGGTGTCAATCAGTTCGTCAGAATTACACATGCTTTTTTTTTATTAGTTGTGATTAGTTTTTCATGTTGTCATTAAGCCGTCACTAGCTGAAACTAATCTCTTCTCTATCTTTTCTTTTCTTTTTTTTTTTTGTTTTGTTTTTTGTTTCTAACCACCCAGCCGCCACCGGCAACTAACCTATGACCTTCTGACCTCTGAACTCTTCACCCAATGATGACCTGACCATGCCTGCCTGCTGATCAGTTAACTGGTAATCGCCTTTGCTTGCCTGTCGTCAGTGCAGCGAGCTGAGGCACTTGTCCGTTCGTCTTACCATCTAACCAAACAAAAGACAAAGAAATTGTCCTCCAACTCAGCTTTTGTTTTGTTTTGTTTTGTTTCTCCTGTTTGGGTGAAAATGGTTCTAGAACCTGCACTGAATAGTAGTAAAGCAATAAGGCCCAATTCATGCCACAGCACTGATCATCTTCCCATGTCCCGCCCTAAGCGAACGAACGGTAAGAAGGCCTCCCTGCAGGAGGGGAGCCGGGTGGCCCTTGACTACTCAGTGACAGGCAGTTACTGTGAGAGACTTCCTAGGAGCCCTTCCTTCTCGTGGCGAGTCCAAGCTCTGAATGTACTGTGTGGTGATGCATCATGCATGAACCTTTGGTCAGGGATGTCGTTGGTGAAGGGATTTTAAAAGTGTTCAAAATCTGATACGCTGTTCAGTCACTACAGCGCCCGCCCAGGGCGGCAGCGGCAGCCTTTTCTGTGTTGCCTGCCGGCATCTGAAGTGTCGGGGGTGTGCCACGAGAGAAACCTTACTTAGCAAGGAACCTGAAAAGTAACGCAAAGAACAAAACTGCAACACTATTTCAAAAGTAACTATCTGAGTTAAAACGACTAAGCCTTTGTGTCACAGCTCCTTAAAAATCCGTGAGAACAAGGTACATGCATTATGTGTCACGTGACTGGGCAAACTGTTCAGAGATTGTTTTAAACCTCCCTGTATAGAAAAAATCATTAAGGATGTAAAAGCCATGCTTGCCTCTTTGCTGTATACATGTAATGAAATTGTAGATAAAGTGTAGTGCATTGAAACAATGAACAAAAGTAGATACTTTTACTATACAAGGGTGCTGGTGCAGAAAAATATATATATTTTTGGAAATGTAGCATTTTATACTTTCAAGTATTATAAAAAAAGAAAAAGAACAAAGAAAAACCCTTTATTTCATTAAATGATTTTTTCTGGTGGTTGTCAAGAAACAAAAGACCAAAAGAGCCTTTTTGTCTTTCTTTTTTATTTTTTAAGTATTGGAATAAGTCTAAAGAAAAGGAAGTGCCTTATTTTTCTTCATGGTCATTTAGTCAAGTGTCTCGTAAGATCAGCTCCTCCCTCAGAACACAAGTTAGCGCACGTTACTCAGCTGCCCAGTATGTGAGAGCAGATAAGGGGGAGATTAATGAGTTGATGGTTTGAATTACATATTTTTTGCCACGTTACCTTGATACAAATTTGCCAAATCTGATACTGTGAAACAATTTGATAATTTTTCTAATGCCTGACACGTGTTTTCAAACATCATTCTTTTAAAATCATAATTGATTGCTTTTGATTATTGCAATATTTAATGTTACCCCAAAGGATTCTGGGATAAAAATTATGTGTGATTTGAGCATCAGTTTACAGACAAATTAGAGCTTTGTTTTTAAATTCAGAGACAAGGGTGTGTGTTGAATTCCGCCTTATTATTTGAAGACTGATACTATGTTTAGCTGAACGTCTTCACAAAAATGGACCGTCTTGATTTTCATTCTGGAAAAGTGTTCTTTCTCCAAATGACCCAAACTTAATCAGACTTCTCCTCCCTACCAGGTAGCCCACCCCCCAGTTTTAATAACGTAAGGCACCCCCCCCACACACACCTTGTTTCAACTTGAAAAGGGTGGAAACCCAGCATCGCTGTGCATATAAATGCTCAATTACATGGGAGCCCAGCTCCTGGTCGGTCCCCTGTAGTTGAAGTGACGTGTGCACAGAGCCTGTGTCTCTCTGAACGTTTGGTGGCCATCAGCTGCTTCAGTACCAGACGTGGCAAATGTCAAGGGGCAGTGGGTGCCAGCTGCTCAGCTCGTCCCCTCGTACACACCTGCACAGTCCGACGTCAGCAGTGAGCTCAGTAAGCACCTCCGCAGGGACCTCCTCCGTCACCGGGTCTCGCTCAGAAACGTTTTCAGTTGATTTACTATGCAATAGACACGCATTGTTTAGTAGCGGCCAGCTCTGGTTCAGCGCCACTGCTGTCTTCCTGTCACCCACACCGCTGTCTGGTTCAGTGACGGCACTTGCCGTGCCATTTTGATCTTTCCTTTGTTTGGTTGAATAAATTTGCGACACTCAAACACTTGAGGTGTGGTAGTAGTTTAAAAACAGTACCAGTATTTGATCCAGTTTCATCTCAACTATGTTATACCTGGACATTTTAGATGTTTATCAAAGGTCTTTTATGGGGAAGAAAGTACGTGTATGAAATAGATGTGTGATACTTAGGAGCAGTGTTGGCTCTGAACAAACTTTTGAAAACTTAGTTGAAACCGTTTTGGATCAACTGACAATAAGCATGACTTTTGAAATCTGAATGCCTTGGTTCTCAGTATTATCATTCTTTATTGAATTTATTTCTTATTAAAATATGTAGTTTTTAAGACTTTTTTTGACAGTATTATGTAATTTTTTAGTGTGGGTAGATGGGAGTGTCGCTTGTATGTTACCGTACAGCTGACATGTGTTTTTGTCTGTTATTATCTCAGTAGTTTCATGCTCTGTATGTACCATAACCAACCTATTGCCTATGAGAAACATGTAAGATAATGTATTTACAGCCATTGTTACAAGTTTATAATGTATTTTTCTATCTTGTTTTATATGTATGTTATATAACATTCAAAAAGAATTTTTTTCTTGATTGAGAAAAGGATACAAAATGCAAAATCCACAATTTTGATAACTGAAAATTGCCAATTGTTTTGCAGTACTTTATTATATTGGGTGTCTTGTCTTTCTTGGGCTTTTTAGTTAGCTAATGAATGAATACATTAGATACTTTTGGGTTTTAGTTGGGATTTTACATAGCTTGCATTTTAATTCTTTGGTTCTTTGCTGTTTCTATTAACCCATGGCATTATTTTAATAAATGTTATAATACCAACCTACTAACTCTGGACTATGTCTGTTTATTAACCTTTACGTGTTTAATTAAAACAAAGAAAGAAAGACAAAAGGATGTAAAGTGTTGAGTTACTGGACTAACCCTGAGGAACGTGACCACAGATAACACGGCGTGACTTGTTTGTGTGTTGTCTGTCAGCTGACAGTCCCCACACTCCTGCGGCAGGGGCTTTGTTGACTGTGTTACTTCGAGGGGGGAGGTGCCGGTAGAGAGGGGAACGAGGAGGCGGCTTTGGTGTGAGGGCTCTCCTGGTCTTGCCACTTGCCTTTCAGCCTCTGCAGTACTAATTCCTTTCTTAGTTTTCCTTCTCCAAGATAATCCCTGTCTGCTCACAGCATTAAGAGTAAAGAGATTCCTTGTAATGATGTAGCCCAAGAAACCAGTTTGATTCTTTGTTGAACCACTTCTCTTAATTTCTGTAAGTGAGGTAGTATTATTGGTTACATTGCACAGCAAAGAGTGCTGGTGTTCTGTCATTTTAAACGGACACTTTTCCTTTATGAACTGTTGACCTGTTTAGCCCGCTGCTCCCCTTGGGGGCGCTCAGCACAGGTCACGGCAGAGTGGCTGTGATTCTCAGGACAGTGTGGAGGAAGTCGTGGACCAGGGGGGCCGCCGCCCACAGCCCTCAGCCCGCCGCAGGCGGCCGCGGTCAGTTCTCAGGTGCTCTTCCCCCGGCACCTCCTCCAAAGTGCGGTCATAGTGCGGCACTGAGGCGAGGGCGTGCCCGAGGGTTGACAGTCCCCTGTCATTGAGTTCTGCGTGCAGGTCAGATATAACCCTGCCTCTCTCGGCGGCAGTCTAGGTAAAGTGACCTCTGCATGGGGATTCTTAGTTTAACTCTGGAAGTGCATTTTTATTTCACAGGAGTTGTTAATTTCTATTTATTATCTGTGAAACAGATATGGATAATAAAAAATTCTTAAGATGAATTTTTGCATTCATAACTAGTGGCTTATTTTTATAAATTGCATTTTATTTAAGTTCTAAATTCTGGGGCTGAGATGAGTCGCATGTTACAGAAGACATAACCAGTATGCTTTAAACTAATCGGACTGTCAAAGCATTCTCACTTTGTATTTATTTATTCCCATAATATGTACATATATATGTATTACATAGGATAGTGATAAGAACTGATGCAGTTGTAACAGATGGTCATCTGGATTAAATGAGTTGGGTGGTTTCTCCAAAGGGGTGGGGGGTGTGGCCCACGGGAGGGCTGGGCAGCCCGAGCTCTGCTGCCTGCAGAAGTTCTCGTTGCCGTGGGGCTCGTGTGTCATTCTGGAGGAGTTCAGAGATGTCTCTGAAGCTGCTCATATACCAGCCATCAGGTGCCACATCACCTAAGCTGATGAGTTTCTGTGCAGCTGACTCATCTCACACGGGAGGGTCCTTGATGGACAGTCCCGCCGCACTGTCACCCGTGGGCATGGGGGAAGTGGGACGGGGCTGCTGCTGTTCAGGGGCGAGAGCAGCATCGCACATTGCACTTCTGCCCAGGCGCGAAACCACTGAGCTCAGGAGGAAAGCATGCTGGTCGGCTTATCACTTCTTACTATTTGTAAAACAATTGAAGAAAACAACTGAAACCTAAAGCTTTTAGTCAAGACTTCGGTGAAATGAATGTACTCAGGAGTTAAGCATGTTTTTTCTTAGGCAACATATCAGGAGGAATGTAGCAAGACGGTAGACACACACATACACCTGATACTCCCAGTGCAGTTGCCTGTGGAGGCTGAGGCCCCCCCCCCCCGTGCGGTGCGGTGGGGTGCGTGCACACACACACACAGGGAGGCGACGCTTTCTGGATGGGTACGCGGCGAACACGAAGGGCTGCATTTTCTGGTGGGCCGGGAGCGGACAGCGGGTTTGGGTGAAAATGCTCACTACCAAGGCGAGACCCTCCTTGCGAGCGAAGCCCACCGCCTTTACGGGGCAGTCGGCTTTCTCCAGGCCGCTCGTTCGGGATGTTTGATTCCTTGACGACAGTTACGGTGTTGACAGCAAGTGGTTTTTAGTGAAATGAGACGTATTGATAAATTATTCAGTAGCAAATTTCTCAGAAAACTTTGGATTTTACAAACTTTCTAAGTAGTTCGAAAGGTCATTTTTTTAACGTAGTCCCAGATTCCTCCATGTCTTGATTCAAAATGGAAAAATAGTTGCTTTTATATATAACACTCGTGGTACACACAGGTCATTTTACCTGTGGTTTCTTGACTATCAAATCTAAATTGAAACACCTTTGTGGTGAATACCTGGTGCTCAACGTCGAATCAAACTGGTTCGCCTCAACCTCGTTCTTGCTCAGCCCTGTCTGCCGCACTAACCGCTGGGGCAGGCGGAGGGGGAGGAGGGCCGGGGGGCCAGGCATGTGGGGGTGGCGAGTGCAGCCCACAGCAGCGCTGACCCCGCATCGCTTGCAGTGCCAGTTTCGCTGCCCTTTCTTAGCAACAGACACCGAGTTGTGAAGGAAGAGCTCAGCTCCCGGGTAAAAAAGTTGTCCTTTTGAAAATGCTGTGACTGAAGTTTCGAATACCTAGTGCATCTCTGACGGTGTGTGTTGTAGTGGTGCGTACAAAGCGTGTAGAGTTGTACTTTTGGAAACTGTCCATACAAAGTTGAAACAGGGTCTTCCCCAGCGACGTGCGGGTGGAGAGCCAAGACTGTACATAGACCAGCGCAGTAAACCAACTGGAAAATGCTTGTGCCTCCTCCGGCTGCTTGAGCGGGCTGCTGCCCCTGTCCTGCCCCCAAAGCTCACGTGTAAATAAAGAACGCACATGGTCAATTTCTAATTTTTACTGATGCTTTTACTACTCAAGAGAAAGGACGAGAATCTGACACACTGGGGCCCTCACACCACTTCCCTGGAAGGTGATCGTAATGTTTTCCCCGATCACAGCAGCTAAGAGGAAATCCATCAACAGACTTGCAGTGTTGTCAATTGGATAGGCATCCCAAAAGTTGTCACTTCTTTAAAAAACAAAAAAGATTTCATTTATTTATTTGTAGAGGGAAAGGGAGGGAGAAGGAGAGGGACGTATCGATGTGTGGTTGCCTCTCACACACGCCCTGCTGGGGATCAAACCAGCGACCCTTTGGTTCGCTGGCCAGCACTCAATCCACTGAGCCACACCAGCCAGGGCAAAAATGTTGTCATTTCTGATTGGGAATCTCAGGTGCCATTTGTGTGGCCTTTTGAGATGTAACAAAGAAGAAAGGAATGCCGAGCAGAACTTGGTCTCTGCTGCGTGCAAACGTCTATAGTGACATCCATTCCTTCGACAAAGAATTGGTTCAAAAAAAATTTTTTGAAACCCTTTCATGATTTCGGGCTGAAGTCTACGTGCGGAGCCTCCGCGGCCACACTGGCCCCAGTTCTCTGGCCTGCAGTCTTGCCTTTTACCTCCTTTCTGATCACTCGGTGGGACCTCGTTGGCCTTGGCAGTGCCCTTCTCACACCCTTCTAAGAGCACAAGGTACAGTCGAGCAGCTCTTCGCCTGGTCCGTTGTACATCAAAACAGCCAGAAAGCCGAGGCACACGTTCTCCTGGCACCCCTCGGGAACTCCAGTGTGGCCGTCCTCAGACTGAGTGCCGCCTGGTCAGTTTGGTGCCCGCCTCCCTGGTGCTCATAGGCACCTGGCCATGCCTGTCCTGACCTGGAGTGGGAGTTTTAACTTGAGACACCTAAGTGGTACAGGGTACAGTGTAACACAGGGTGTTCCTCCTGAAAACTCAGGGTGCTGTGTGGTTTCTAAGTGAAAACTGCCAGCCAATCAGGATGCAGTAAATGATGGTCAGGGCAGGGTGTGTGGAGGTGGCTAACGGGAAGCCCCTCCTTCGTAGCCCCCAAATTCAGAAAAGCGCTGCTTCAAGTCAGCACTGAGCAGAGCGAATTGCAGGGAAGCATGGGCAGAGTGCACATGCGATATAAATGGTCTGAACTTGAGAATGGAGTCGGTTACTCCATCAACTTCATCACGTTTTTCTGGTCATCCTACTAGACCCAAAAGTGGTGGGAGTAAGGTGTGCTGTGAGTCCCGGGTGCACGTGGGAGCAGAGCGTGCTGGCCGTCCAGGTGTGCCGTGCTGGCCGTCCACGTGTGCCGTGCTGCCCGGGGCCCTCGGCAGGTCGCTGCCTCGAGCCGTACTGTGCACAGTAGGCCCAATTCTCCCTCCCCAACTGAATTGCTACCTATATTCCCCATGGAAGTTTCGTAAGAGCAGGAACTAGAATTGCGATGAAATTAAAATACAGAAACACCAGAGGGAAAGTTGTTGGATGGGCTGAAGATTAGAAGAGAATTGTGTCATTGTATCCAATGGCTTTCAAAGTCAGGTGGTAGGAAAAGACACTAGGAAGTAGCCCGTCAGCAGGCAGTCGTGTCTGTCCTGTACCGCATGTTACCTTGGGACCTCAGCCAGTTTTTTCAGAGCTCAACCGACTGGACACGTGGTGGAAGTCAGATGCTATCATCAGTATATGATGCGGCAAAACCATTTCTCTGCACATGGAACTGCACCCAATTTGTTACCCTGTACGGGGAAGCTGTGTAATAAAATGGCTTAATGCTTTAGAATCGGGAACCAAGAGGAACATGCATGCTTTGACTGTCCGTGTCCTTCAAAAAATGCCCCCTTGGTGGCCTGGGTGGGGGAGTTCGCTGTCATTCTTGTTGCTGACGGCCCCCAAATACGTGGTCTAGGTAGACACATCGTAGGACATTTTAACCAAAGACATCTTTCATTTCATGGGTGACTTTAGCCTCTAAGATACACAAATGTTTTACCATCACCCTTAACTTAATGCCCTTCCAACAGCTCTAGGAAATCTGAAGACATCTTCAGATGTAAGACAATCTGTAAGACATCTTCGAAGGGCCATCAGCTGAAAACAAGTGTATAATGTGTTTGCTGTGCATTTCTAGTTTTTAGAGCAACAGAGGCTGCTTTTCCACAGTTGCACTGAAGCACCTCACTTGCCAAAAGCATCCAAGTGTCTGAAAGCTCAGGGTATTGTAAAGCAAAATGCAAGCAGCCTGAATCTTAGAAGTTTTCTGTGCTCTGTCAAAAGGAATGCAAAGTGTACGTCCACTGTCCAAATAGAGATTTCAATTCTACATACACATCATAATACACCAATCTGGAGTACGCGTGTTTAGAGAGAGAACGTTGACTGAGGCTGCTCGGGCAGTTTTTTCCTGTGGTCCTTTCATCATAGGAAATGTTACAGATAGTTTTGTTTTACCACAGTGACGATTTTGACAACGTGTTTTTGTTTTGTCTATTTTTAAGGGACTTCACTCCTTAGGGCCGATTTAGGTTCACAGCAAAACTGTGCAGGTGATAGAGAGTTTTGCCCTGCACCCCCTGCCCCTGTGTGGGTGCACCGCCTCCCCCATCATCAGCCTGCGGATGCCCCACCAAATGGGTGCTCTTTCTACAAGGAATGAACCTGCACAGACGCAGCGCCACCCAGACTGCGCAGTTCACAGGGGCGTTCACCCTTGGTGATGTCCTCCTCCGGGTTTGGACAAATGGTGTAATGGCACGTGTCCACCATTACAATATCATCAGAATGGCCCCACTCCCCTGAAAATCCTCCACCCTGCCAGTTCCTCCCCCACCTCTCCCCAGCTCCTGGCCACTGTGGGCCTTTCTACTGTCCATCGTTTTGCCTTTTCCAGAATGTCTTACAGTTGGGATCCAGACTGGATCTCCCATGTCCTCGCACGGGTTCATGCGTCGTTTAGCACCGGGTAGTGTTGCATTGTCCGGATGCACCGCAGTGCATCCGATTTACTCACCCACTGACGGACACCTTTGGGCACTTTCCCGTCCTGGCGAGTACGCACGAAGCTGCTGCAAACACTCCATGTGCAGGTCTTGGTGTGGACATGAGTTTTCCACTCCTTTGTGTGAATTTCCGACAGTACATTACTGGAGCTGGTGGTAACAGCCTGGTTCGTTTTGTAAGAGATTTCCAAAGTGGCTGTTCCATTTTGCTTTCAGAATGTCCTAGGATGGTGATTAGGGTAATTAAAAATGGAGAGAGGCATTTCCAGACTGAACTGTCAGTGACATTGTTTCAACAGACACATCCAGTTAGGAATTTACGCTGACGTATTAAAACTCCAAGTAGGAGTGAAAGAACTCCCCAGATTACTAAGCCTTTCCGTTCACACCGGAAGCATTCACGTGCTGAGATGACCGTGCGGGACCCCAGGCCGGGCCGCTCTGGTGGACAAAACAGCTCCCTGTCTAGGGCCGGGGAGACAAATACAGTATAAAACATGGTCGTTATCCAGCCCGCGGAACGGCAGCACTCCACGCCCCGAGGCTGCCCACACCTAGTAAAGTTACGATTCTTGTGAAGAAGGCAGCTAAGGCTGAATTTCGGTAGAAAGTTTTGCATCTCTGTGTAGCCGTAGCTGGAGTAGTCCCATTTCCTAAAGGCCAATCTTACTAAATTACTATTTAGGAAAAATACCCTTTAGGAAGCCAGGCAGGTTTGCTTGCTCAGTCTTGGGGAAAGAGCCCCTCCACCCCATCCATCTTCGTCCCCCTGATCAGAAAGGCGTTTCTCAGGCCCCGAAGCTCAGTCCTGGCCGCAGCCCCCAATCCTGAGTCCTCCCGCCAGGGGCCTCCTTTCCCACCACAGCCAAGCCCTCGGGTGACATGGCCCCCCTACCAGGGGAGGGGGCTGTGCCCCCGTAAAATCCATTACCAATCTCAGTCTCAGTAATCTTTCCTGTGCCCCTGGGCCACCACCTAATGGCATTGAAAGCAAACCTCTCTCCTTTCATCCTTTTGCCAAGGTCGTGGTCTGAGAACAGGAATTTTATCTAAAAATGGCAGCCTGGCATTTAATCTCAGTCTGTCTGCTTCCCGAACAGTTATTCCTTCCCAAGATTTTCCCGTCGGTGAAGCACGCGTGACATCTTCAGATGTCCCGGGAACAGGCCGGCAGGGTCTGAAAGGGCTCCCAGAGCGTTTTTCTGTCCCTTTCAGACCTCTCTGCATTTAATTGAGATTGAAACCTAAGTCTCAGCAAATATTCGCGGAGTAGACACTTGACTCTGTCCATCCGCTTCCGGAGCTGCCCCTAGACGACTGCGTGTTCAGCCAGTGGACTTAGGCTGGACGTTGGTGGGCAGACCGACCGGCTGACGCGCTGACGCTGTGCCCAGGCGCCCAGCGGGGAGAAGGGGGCGGAGGGTCCACAGGTGTAACCCACCTGAGGCCGTGCTTTGGGAAGGGCAGCCAGAGAGCTTATCCAGGATTCAGCCCTGCGTCTTCTCATAAGCACATAAAAACACTGCAGACAAAAACACGGATCAAACCCCCTGAGACCCTTTAAAGCGCCTTTGGTGATGGGTCATAGAGGGCGACGAACAGCCCCGGGACCCAGACGAGGACACAGGTGCCCCGGGAGACGTCCACCCAAACTCGCCCCTTCGTGTTTGAAGCTCGGCAGTCGCCCCCACCCACGCTCCTGCCTCTTGTTTGCCCCACGGTTCCTCTGTCCCAATCCACGCAGTGTATTAGGTGTGGCTCGTCCTTGGTGCCGAGTCCACCCGCCTCCACGAAGGGGAGGGGGGAGGAGGGGAAACTGGTGTGCGAGGGGCCTGGACCCTGCCCCCCAACTGCAGGGACAGTGGGCTCCCTGGAGCAGGCCTTCTAGAAGTTCCCCGGCCACAACACATGTAGAAAATAGTGGGATGGGTGATGGGAGCCACAGAACCACAGACAACAGGTCAGGAGTTAGCAGCTTCGGGGACAGACCTGGATGTG